AAGGGATCTTTCTTTATCGGTGCTGTCACAATTGTTATTAATGATTGCGTTTCTGGTTAGGTAGAAGTGAAAGGATAATTCTAAAATGCCATCGTTATTTTGACTTGTTGCTTATTTTGTTGTCATTCTGCAAAAAAAAAGCAAATCGTTTTATACTCACGAGACATATATGCCTCCTTATCTCAGTATCGCTCGTTTGCTTCAGCAGAGAATAACTTAACATAACTCTCAACTTCACTTGGAAAATAAGATGGGGATGTTGTGAATCATGAAGACATGTCTTCTGATCTATGTTGCATTGGCAAATAAAAAATTGATATGATGACTCGTACATGTCTATGGTGGGGAGAAGGCGATCAGATCAAATTGGTTCGAATGGTTGATGTGATGGAATTGTGTCGGACTCGTTATAGTGGTTGGGGGTAAAACCTCTTCTGTTGACCAGACATGCACAAATTCTTCGAGGTATGCTTCCGATGAAACGACCAATGTTGACTTGACTCATATTATTCCAATCATCAGTGAGCACAGTAACGAGTTCAGTGAGAGTGGTGGGTGATTTTGACGTTGAAATTGTTTCAGATTTGGTAAAAAACATACCTTTGCATTAAATCTAATTCAATGTCACAGGAAGTTTTGTTGTTCAGTATATTTACAATGTCAAGATCATCAACGGTTGTTTGAGACACTCAACAATGTTTGCAATGTTGTTATTTATAAAAGATTAAAAGAAATAGCCACACTTTTAGCTTTTCCCTTGATTATTGTTTGAGTTGTAGCTGACCGGTTCTTGATGCATCCATATAGCAGTTAAAAATCACAAGATAGATTATGTTGTATGTATAAGCTCCAACCATGTCTTCATATCAACCAATGAAAAAATATTTGTCACACACCACTGCACCACTGCACCACTGCACCACTAGCTTTTGGCCACGCCCCCTAAATGGGTTTGTTTTGGTTTCTGATTACTGAGCATTTCATCACAAGACTTCCACATATTTATATACCAGTACTTTCTACTAATGTTATACATTTTGTTCTCTAAGAAATAAATTTCATATATCCAGTAAAAATTATATTCGAATCAAAATCACAATCAATGTTTTCACTTCAAATTTCCAACATAAATCACAAGTAAAACCTGAATATTCATACTCTTACATGCTGATCCCCTACTCTTGTAGTTTTCGACAGATTAATATACACATAGAAAAAAGTTAAGCACACCCTAATATGTTTCGTTATTGTTTGGTCCCAATATTTGTAACAGTCATGAAAGATATAATTACGGGACGAACTATGTTTTCTCGAGATGATGTAATCAGTCATGCGTGACGAAAGCTCACGTGTCATGCATGGTATGCCCGTGCAGCATGCTACCCTCGAGTATCTCTAAAAGCAGTATGTCCAAACGTTAGAATTCTTAAGCACGGTTTTAAACAGTTATTCCATGACATTGTGTGACCATGGAACGAAGGCGATTATCAAACGCCACAAGATTGCAAATAATCGGCATGCATAACGCAGGAATGTCTTGCCATTGGTCAGAATTGAGGTTTCATCACACTGTCGTAAGCCATTTAGTCGAGAAACATGCTCAGACCGGTGGTGTACAGGACCGTCCCAGATCTGGCAGACCTCCTGTGATGACACATCGGGAGAACCCTTTTTAACAAGTACTCAGCTGTGGTTGCCCAATCGTCGTTTCAGCACCAGAACAGTCAAGAACCGGCTGAAAGCAGCAGGATTGAGGGCTAGACGAGTAATAAAGCGTCCCTTGTTGAGAGATCACCTCAAAGCTGCTCGTTTAGCACGGTGTTTTGTGTGACAGAACTGGAATCCGAGAACTTGGAGACGGATCTATTGGTCAGACGAAAGTGGCTTTCTGCTCCACGTCACTGATGGAAGAACGAGAGTTGGGAGGCACCGGAACACGGACTACACCCCCAGGAACATTAAACCGACTGTTGCATACGGCAGGGGCTCGGTAATGGTTTAGGGGTGTATCTCTCATGATTGCAGGTTGGATTCGGTCACCATAAGGGGCAACTTAACAGGGACTCAGTACATCCGGGACGTTTTGAGTTGTTCCTAATTTTGACAACCACCCTCTTGCTACTCGACCTCAGTACATGGATGACAATGCCAGGCCTCATCGTTCGCATGCAGTCGTGGATTGCATGAGGGCCAATGCAATAACGACTCTACCCTGGCCAGCACTGAGCCCAGATTTGAACCCCCTTGAACAGGTTTGGGATATTCTGCAGCGGTGCATACAGACACGAGATCCTCCTGTACAAGATTTACATTTGCATCAGGGGTGGTTGTTGTTGACGCATCAACAGATCCAACATCTGACTGGAGTCATGAGACGTAGGGTGGAATGCGTCATCCAGGCACGTGGCGGTTATACCCACTACTGATCTGTTTCACGTGTCATGTCAAGTAGAGACTTTAAGGAACATTTTCACATGAAACATCAAACGTAACTCGTTAACTTAATCCTGCAGCTCCATACTTCTTTAGGTATTGTCTAAGGTCAAAAACAGTACCTGTGCTACCATGATGTTTTTGTCAGTAAATTTCAATCACAACTCACCAATATCATCTTTATTTGGTATCAACTGTTTGTTCTATCCGATGACATTGGTATCGCCCAGCTCCTGTGGTCAGTCATCCCATGCCATGATTTTTGCCATTTGTCATGGTTCAGAAATTGGGGTGTTGTTAACCTTTTGCTTTGTATATATCTTGTTATCACCCGCTTAATAAACATACAGCTTTATTACATATTGTGTAATACCAAAACGCGTGCTTATGTACTCTCGGAACACGTTTCACGAACAAATATTGAAAGCTCTCAACATCCCTTGGCGACATTGCGTGTGGAGTTGATAGATCACTGAGAGGAGCTAATGCACACTCGATGACCCCAGCAACCTTGTAGCTAGGCTGACGTCACATGGCATTGTTTCGCCGATGGATCTTGCATCAAAATTCCACAAATTACGTCATCGGGTATTGTGACGTTATTGAAAACTTTGAGGTGCAAGGCCCGTTCCACAAGGCGATCGTATTGTAGCGCAACGACAGTCGTTGGTCTAAGTTAAAGTATGTGAGATGCGAGAGTCTTAGCCCTACGATAATTTTGTGAATTCTAAAGTAGACCCGTTGTATGGTATGAAATTCATACGTTTCAACTTTTGACGTGCTCGTCAGATACCACAACTATTCACGAGTTTCATAAAATTGGTATTACACGAGAGCGAGTTTAGTATTCTATATTTCTCCTCATTTGTTCTCGTGTCACCAGATCCGGACTGCAGAGACCCTGAAGGGATTCCCGAGTCCTGGAAGCCAGCTAAACGTCCTCCAGTATTTGGCGAGGGCAGCTCCGTGGTCATTCAGTATGAATGTAAAGAAGGCTATACAGCTGATGCTTTTGGGGCGCTTATTGCCACCTGTCTTATGGATGGAACAGTGGAATTGAGAGAAGATTACAAGTGCAGCAGTATGTGTTTTTTTTATAAAAGAAACATAGAGTTCCATCTAGGAATGCATATTTTGAATACATTAAATCAAATTCACCAAGTGCAGCAGTATGTGGTTTTTTTTATAAAAGAAACATAAAGTTCCATCGAGGAATGCATATTTTGAAAACATTAAATCAAATTCACCAATTTCGCATTGTTCTTGAGAAATGTTCTCGAAATATTCAACTTGATGACTGCTGTTGAACAGTGAGTGAGTTAACGGGGTATTTCGCCCCTTTCAGCAATACTCCAGCAATATAATGGTTGTCACACAATTCGAATTTCGAACCAGTGTCTTCAGCGCGACGAGCATGTAAACAGTAGCTACACCACCCCACCTTATTGTTGATCGGCCATTCACAGGATTAGCCAGAATGACAAATGTGATTTATTTAGATCTATTTTGAAAGGCCATTTTGCTAAAAGTCGAAGGCTGCTTTGGGCGAGGAGGAGAACAAAGCTATCTATGATATGTACGATCAGAAAGGACCAATTGACAAATTCACCAATTAGAAGTAAGATTGTCAGTCAATGTAACAACGCCAAGTTCATTATAAAATCATAATATTAACATACTGAAAATGATGTAAAATGATCGATCATGATGTGTGCAGGATCTGAAAGTGGAAGTCAAACGCCGGCCCTCAGTTCAAGCCAAGCACTTCTACCGCTTCTACCATCTGGACCCCAAATAATATTGACAAATCCTGTCGTTAATCTTGGTGGTTTCAACCAAAGACCACAAGCAACTGCTGCACCTGCCATTACTCCCGCTCCGACAACTACAACTCCTGCTCCAACAACTACAACCCCCGCTCCGACTACTACAACCCCCGCTCCAACAACTACAACCCCCGCTCCGACAACTACAACCCCCGCTCCGACTACTACAACCCCCGCTCCGACTACTTCAACCCCCACTCCGACTACTACAACCCCCGCTCCGACTACTACAATCCCCGCTCCGACTACTACAACCCCCGCTCCGACAACTACAATCCCCACACCAACAACTACAACCCCCACTCCGACTACTACAACCCCCACTCCGACCACTACAACCCCCACTCCGACTACTACAACCCCCGCTCCGACTACTACAACCCCCACTTCGAGTACTACAACCCCCACTCCGACTACTACAACCCCCACTCCGACTACTACAACCCCCGCTCCGACTACTACAACCCCCACTCCGACTACTACAACCCCCACTCCAACAACTACAACTCCTGCTCCAACAACTACAACCCCCACTCCGACAACTACAACCCCCGCTCCGACTTCTACAACCCCCACTCCGACAACTACAATCCCCGCTCCAACCACCACAACTGCTACAACTACAACACCTGCTCCGACCACCACCACTACTACATCTACAACTCCTGCTCCAACCACCACTACCACCACTACTACTACAACTACAACTCCTGCTCCAACCACTACTACTACTACATCTACAACTCCTGCTCCGACCACCACTACCACCACTACTACTACAACTACAACTCCTGCTCCGACCACCACTACCACCACTACTACTACATCTACAACTCCTGCTCCGACGACAACCACTACTACAACATCTACAACTCCTGCTCCGACAACCACCACCACCACTACAACTACATCTACAGCTGCGTCCAAAATCGACTCATCAGAAGTCAGGCGTAAGTACAATTTCAATTGAAATATTATATCATGAACGCAAAGTGGCGTCCTCCAAGTATTCATAATTAAAACAATCGAGGAAATATGTTTTTTAATTAGCGACGGACATTCTAGAAATAGGGTGGCTTGTTCGGAGGCCTGAGTTCACGTTTCTGACAAAAACAGCACGAAGGCGTCTCTTACAACCAGTAACCAGCACCACAATTGAAACTAAAACCAAATTGTCATCGAAGATGAGTGTCTTACAGAAGCATATTAACATGTGCAGTACTCGCTCATCAGTCAACCAACGTTCTCGGTCACCTTGAAAGGTCGTTGTTCAAAATTGTGTGAAATGAATTCCCAAACAGGACAAATGAGACTTGGATTTTCACATAGTGAGTGATGAGTGAGTTGGGTTTAACGCCGCTTTTAACAGTATTCGAGTTATATCGCGGCGTGTCAGCTTAATGTGGGAGGAAAGCCTAAAGTGATGCAGGTCTCAGACGTTTACCACTTCGGTGAAACCCACGAGCACGGGTATGGTGCTGACAAACCTAGAAACATAATCGGGGCGAACCGGGATTCGAACCCACAATCATAGGTTTCTGGCGTGCCCAAGGGACGCAACTCTGCACAGCGAATCGCGGCGCCTTAGACGACTGGGCCTCCCACATTAAGCTGACACGCCGTGGTATAACTGGAATACTGTTAAAACTGGAATACTGGCGTTAAACCCAACTCACTCACTCACTCACTCTTTTATTTTGTATTGGTAATTCATTCTATTTGTGAACTCTATGTGTACGTTCTAAGTGTTCTTTTACAACTAGTTCGCGTGAGTCTACCAATGAGTTTTTGAGTGAAGACACAGTGAAGACTCTTATGCCGAATGTAGCTGTACCACTATCGACGTCTACGCTGATCTACACCAGAACTTGTAGATCATCACTAATCACGCTCGATAAGCCATTTGACAGATTCGTCATAGGCAACCTGGTACCCTCCTCTCGGGATCATCGTATGCAGATTAGGGCCAGGCGCTTCAAATATCATAGTGATCATTTTCCTCCTGCACTGGGCACGTCACACATTCTTCACAGAACTCTGGAACCCCCCTTCTATCTACCATATAGTTCACTGGGGATTGTCAGTGTGAAGCTTGAACCTCATTTCTGGCTAACGTGGTTTTCTCGACTGGAAGCATCGCCGACCGGAATAAGGTCAACTGAATTTATGGGAGTCCTTGCAGTGTCTTTGTGCCACTTGATTTCATGCCTACTTGCACCTATTGTTGCAACCACTTGACCAGACGTCTGTCTCTGTACATTTATATGACCGAGTCACTTACTTCAGTCCAATGCCAACAAGTGCAGTAAAGAGCCATCTTGGTTTAAGTGTGAGTTTGGTTTAACGCCGCTTTTAACAGTATTCCAGTTATATCGCGGCGTGTCAGCTTAATATGGGAGGAAAGCCCGAAGTAATGCAGGTCTCAGACGTTTACCACTTCGGTGAAACCCACGAGCACGGGTATGGTGCTGACAAACCTAGAAACATAATCAGGGCGAACCGGGATTCGAACCCACAATCATAGGTTTCTGGCGTGCCCAAGGGACGCAACTCTGCACAGCGAATCGCGGCGCCTTAGACGACTGGGCCACCCACATTAAGCTGACACGCCGTGATATAACTGGAATACTGTTAAAACTGGAATACTGGCGTTAAACCCAACTCACTCACTCACTCACTCTTTTATTTTGTATTGGTAATTCATTCTATTTGTGAACTCTATGTGTACGTTCTAAGTGTTCTTTTACAACTAGTTCGCGTGAGTCTACCAATGAGTTTTTGAGTGAAGACACAGTGAAGACTCTTATGCCGAATGTAGCTGTACCACCATCGACGTCTACGCTGATCTACACCAGAACTTGTAGATCATCACTAATCACGCTCGATAAGCCATTTGACAGATTCGTCATAGGCAACCGGGTACCCTCCTCTCGGGATCATCGTATGCAGATTAGGGCCAGGCGCTTCAAATATCATAGTGATCATTTTCCTCCTGCACTGGGCACGTCACACATTCTTCACAGAACTCTGGAACCCCCCTTCTATCTACCATATAGTTCACTGGGGATTGTCAGTGTGAAGCTTGAACCTCATTTCTGGCTAACGTGGTTTTCTCGACTGGAAGCATCGCCGACCGGAATAAGGTCAACTGAATTTATGGGAGTCCTTGCAGTGTCTTTGTGCCACTTGATTTCATGCCTACTTGCACCTATTGTTGCAACCACTTGACCAGACGTCTTTCTCTGTACATTTATATGACCGAGTCACTTACTTCAGTCCAATGCCAACAAGTGCAGTAAAGAGCCATCTTGGTTTAAGTGTGAGTTTGGTTTAACGCCGCTTTTAACAGTATTCCAGTTATATCGCGGCGTGTCAGCTTAATGTGGGAGGAAAGCCCTAAGTGATGCAGGTCTCAGACGTTTACCACTTCGGTGAAACCCACGAGCACGGGTATGGTGCTGACAAACCTAGAAACATAATCAGGGCGAACCGGGATTCGAACCCACAATCATTGGTTTCTGGCGTGCCCAAGGGACGCAACTCTGCACAGCGAATCGCGGCGCCTTATACGACTGGGCCACCCGTTCCCCCCTTGGTTTAAGAACGAGAGTGCTTATACTGTCGGGGGATGGAAACGATTATCTTCCTCCATAGGGTACGATCTTTCTAACCAAGGAATTATATATATATATATATATATATATATATATATATATATATATATATATTCAGTCGTATCTACTTTATATCGAGTTTCCGTCCAACTTTGATGATTACACGTGGAGTAACGTGACACCTCGGTTCGTCGTCACCTCGATATAAGAACAGGAGTGTATATACGACAACCAGAGGATGGACATGGCCATCTTACTTCGCACGGCGCGATCTTTGAGACCAAAGTTTCACAGATATTCAGCTTTATCTTCTGGATACAGCTTCGACTTTTAACTAAACCGTTACGTTGAAGCCTCAGCGATCGGTTGAGGAGCCGGTTTATTTCGTCTACATGGGATTTGGCATTGGTTCGCTGAGGAACACACTTTTCCACGTATCGTCATGACATGACACGATCAGAGACCTCACTGATGTTGACTTTTCAACTTTACAGTCTAACATCTGCTACCCGCTCTTCAACAGCCCACGCCAGCCCAGGATGTGACTGGCTGAGGTCGACTAGGACCTGGGGCTGTCTGGTGCTCTGCCCTCTCATCTCAGGAGTCATTTCAGCTGGTGGACGGTGGAGTCAAACGTCCTAGAATGTGTCTCTGCAACAGAGTTATCCCCGACGTCCTACCTGTTCGTAGAGGCCTCCTCAGGTTGAGGTGCGCATCTAGAGGCTCAGACGACCTCGGGGATGTGGTCCGGCGTTCAGTGCATTGGCACATCAACAAAACTTGGAGTTGAAGGCGCTCAGGTGATATCACACTGGAAGAGCACCTCCATTGCTCACTGTGTACAGGTACACATCACGGTGGTCTGGTGACTTCACAGCTCTTTCGGAATCGAAGCTTCTTCCCGATATTTCCATCTGGTGTGCCAGCGCCACGTCATCCCAACATTGCTCTCGTTTTTTTGTAACCCGATCCCAGACCCACAGGCTTGTATGGTGGATTCATTCACAGTCCCGTAGCATGGCAAAGAGCGTATTTTTGTCCGTCTGCAGTACTCTTTCCCAGGGTTCTTCAAAAGATCACCCCCGTGGGGACACTTTAAAATAGATTGTATCCTCAGCACCCCATTACTGGTCGTGAGAGACGACCGAATTGGCCAACCCATTTGATGTGCGTTCAGCCCCTGTGTCAGTGGAGGATTGGATTCTGGTGGTTGAATGCACTGGAGCCAGAAACAGGTGTTCCTTTCGACCCTTTCTTCACCTGGACGGGTGGAAGAATGGTCCCGGTTCTATCAGTTGGCTGGTCATGTCATGCCCTGGCATGGTTACCACGTTATAATCGAATATTTGTATTATGGACTAAGATGACTATTACTCATAATAAATGCATGGCTTTAGATTCAGGAAGGTAGTGCCTCATGGACCAATCTGGCATAACTGAACTCCAGGTTCTGTTTGTCTTGAGAAAAGTGTCAAAGTGCCGAACCACAATGACTATTATTCTGTTTGACATACATAGCTGGGTCGTTCTTGTTGGAGTATAGCATCCCTGTAGCTGTGGTGTCTGTAGTCCGATTCCACTACAACTCAGTTCTTGTTGATCACTTTTTTCTATCATGGCTACCCAACAATACGCTGGTTCTCGTACGAAAAATAAGAGAAGACATGTAGACACAGATAATATTTGTTATAGTAGTTGTAATAGCCTGTTGTAGTACGTGTAACACTGAACATTGTTTTTATTTTATGGTCTTTGCCTGTACCGCCGCCGTATTCTCTTCGACAATCTGATCTTCAGGCACTGTATGATCAGCTCCTTTAACCATGTGTCATCATGAGAGATTTCATAGCCCACTTGGGGTAGCACTGACACCAAAAACATTTGGAAATTACTTGTGGATTTCTTTTGCTTTTTTAATGATGGTTCTCACACGTATCTACATCCTGCAACTGGGACTTACTCTTGTCTGGACTTGTCAGTTGTAGATTATATTTTACTAATTGAATTTGCATGGTCAGTCCATGATGACCACAGTGGAAGCGACCATTTTCCTACCATGTTAAAATATGTTACATCATCTGATCCTCCATCATGACGATGGCCATGCCCATGCTCGTGGGTTTCACCGAAGTGGTCAACGTCTGAGACCTGCATCACTTCGGGCTTTCCTTCCACATTAAGCTGACACGCTGTGATATAACTGGATTACTGTTAAAAGCAGCGTTAAACCCACTCACTCACTCACTCACTCACTCACTCACTCACTCATCACGAAAGCAGCACTCATGAAATCTGTGACACCACTTCTTCTTCCATACAGTGACTGTAAGCCTGTTATCAGAGATGTTATGCAAAAGAAGTACGACACCCATGTAGGTATAAATATATTACATGAAATAAAACAAACTATTAGCTACACCTACTTTGGTTGTCAGTCCAGATTTGAAGAGGTCATAATACGACGATGACGTATTGACCATAGCATGTATACACATGAACATATATTGAAAGGTGGAGATCCTCCATTCTGTATCCCTCGTGATGAACGAATCACGGTCAAGTATGTCCTGCTTGACAGTTTTGATTTTGCCGTCGAGGGGGATAAATATTTCAAGGCATCAAGTATCAAGGATATTATTTATAGCTCCCATACACTGATTACAAGCCACTGATTACATCCTATATCCGAGATCTGATGCAAAAGAAATGGGACACCCAAGACGATATAAATAAATTACATAACATATAACCAACTATTGGCTAAACCTACTTGGGCTGTGAATCCAGATTTGAAGAGGCAATAATACGACGATGGTTTCTCCTGTAGCTTCTTCTACAGCTTCGTCTTTGTGTCCAAAAACAGTAGTAAATGCATAGAGGGGTAATGCAGGATTTAGATTTACTAGATTTATAGATTTTCAAAGATAAGATTTCGACAGTTGTATACTACGTGAATTGCGTTTTCTTCTTTTTTAAAGTTTTAAATCAAATAGTATTTTTCTTAAATAAAACCACGTGGATATATTTCTGAGTGCTAGAGAAGTGCCAGTGTGGTTCATATTTTGGGTATATAAATCGCTAACCTATTTATATTTTCAATTCAAAATCAAACGTACCTTAAAATCAACTGAGAGGTATAGTTTCTTTTGTCTCTCATTTTGTTTCTGTCATATTGTCGAACATTCATAGACATTAATTTCACTTTTTGTGAACTTCAGCTTCATTTGACCTATCAATGTTTTAATCAAACATGCCCAAGGTATCTCTGTGATACACTGTCCAGTCATCATCGCGCAAGATCATTGAGATCTGTTAATCTAGATCTCCTGATCTGTTAATCTCGATCTCCGCAGAACACCGAAGTGTCCCTTAAATGTTTTCGGCTACTGTTCCTTGGTAATTATTTGTGATTTTATTCTCTGGGTGTATTTCAAAATTTCAGCACTGGACTGCATGGCTGGCTTCATCTATAAATCTGACGCAAATCTGTGCTTCAAAGTCTTTACTGGCACCGCCCTTAACTTTAATTACGCAGAGTACATGTGTAATTACTATACTGGTGGAGCAGGTGGACTTGCTTCTCTGTCAACGACCAAAAAGTTTCACACTGTTCAAAAATATCTCGAAGACGGTAAGTAATGAATAATTAATTGACACACTCACGATATACACAGCCTGCAACCATAGTATTTTATGACCGAGAGAGGGAGGCAGAGAGAGAGAGAGAGAGAGAGAGAGAGAGAGAGAGAGAGAGAGAGAGAGAGAGGGGGGGGGGGAGGAGGAGAGGGGGTATGGGGGATTTGGTTATCGCCTCTTGTAGAAGAGTTTCTGAAACAAGGCCTCGGTGGTATCGCGAGCACTGAGGTAGGTGTTACATTTGAACATCTTTGCCAAATTGACTGTAGAAAATTATAAAACATACACAGTGGAAACACTGTGTAAGGGCAAGTTCACACGGAAATGAACCTATTTTTCTTGTACTTTTTCCACATTAAAAGTGTTAACCTAGTAGTGTCATGGACAAAAATATAAAAATGACACAATAAATAAACATATTTTTTGCATTAAAACGATTTATATTTTTCACATTTACCTAGTGTTCTATTTCCATAACAAAAACACCATGGCTTATGCCCCTTGCAATATGACGTCAATGGTGCCAATTGGTAAACATAATGACGTCATCATGTTTTGTTAGAGCCGCTTCACGTGGTGTAGATACAGGTGTGTGATTCTAGCGTCTCAGATGCCAGCCAGCATAGTGTTATGCTGAGTCACCACTACGCCGGAGTGTGTCGTAGGCCATGCTGTTTTACCGCAAACTGGTACTTGATATCTTTTGCGTTGAGAATAGACAGGGACCCAGTTGAATTGGCACCACTTACGTCACAATCTAAGGGGGATAACTTAGGCGTGTTTAGCTCGAAAAACGAAGGCCTCATAACGGCATATCATTTTCACACTATTGTGAGGTTCCATCTTTCACTGTGAAAAAAGTGAGTTTATATTTTCAAACACAGATACTAACTAATTCTAAAATTGCGTTTTGTTTAGAAAAAGAAAAAAATTGATTTTTGCGTGTACGCTTCCCCTTTAATGTACATTTTGTCCAAATTGATTACAGAACGCAGAGATGGAACGTATTTCTGGGTTGGATCAGAACAGTGGCAAGATACCGATTACAACTACAGGTACTCCTACACATTCTACTATTACTATTTCCGCTACTACTTCCACTTTTACGACTACAACTACTGGGCTGACGACCACAAGGTTGACTACCATCTGTGGGCTCAGGGTGAACCCAACGGAGATTCTCAGAAATGCAACGCAATCGCCCGCAACAAACACCTGCAGCTCATGGACAGCTCATGCAGTAATAAATTTGACTTCATCTGTGACATTCCTGTATTGGAACCCGACAGACGTAAGTATAACCTTTGTTTATTGCAATATACATTAACATACAAAATATGGCTTTATCTGGTCTATAACTGTACTTATAAAGTTTGTTTATGGTGTTACGTGTCGATTCCCAAATTGAAACAATATGTTAATCCAGAAATGTTTACGTATACGTACACGAAGTTGGTGTGAAATTAACAAACAAACAACAAGTGGTATACAATCAACAAATGGATTACAAAATACATTAAGTTTACAAATCAATACAAATTACTGCACAGCAATTACAATGGCAGTAAACAATAGAGTGGTAGTACAATATTCAATGGCAATAAATAATATGATGGCAGTGGTCAATATGAAAAGCAAAAATACAGTGGTGATCGCAAAAGTCAGTGATAATAATGTATATTATACTGCGTCAAGCTTCCGAGATGGGCAAGGCTGGGAATCAGGAAGGATGACTTATCCTCACTTGAAATCTGGTACCAAAGCGATGAACAACCGTGTGACGAAATGTGTGATAGACCAACTGTGCGAGAGATGAGCCTTATAGATAGTCCAACTCGCTTCCATAACGCCACAGCATATTCCATACCAGGCCATGTCATGCCGGAAGTTTACACAACACTGACCACCCGATCCCGTTAGTCGCCTTTTACGACAAGAATAGTCATCTTTTACGGCAAACACGGGTTGCTGAAGATCTATTCTAACCCGAAATCTTCACGGGTCGGCACCAAAGACATTATTAATTTCAGGTTCATTGAAACAAGTTATGGCCACTGTATTCTGGAATGCAATGGGTGTGAACCTTGTTGATTAACTCATTTGCTTCATCGCCTGAGAGATTCTATCAAAGAAAAGCGGCGAGGAATGCTGACTGATGGAGTTCTACTACTTCATGACAATGCCTCTCCTCCATACTCGCGAGACCTGGCACCAAGTGATTGCCACCTGTTTCCTAAACAGAAATAATTATTTCGTGAAAATCGCTCTGACTACGACGATCTCATAGCTCGATATGAGAAGTGTGTTGAAAAGCAGGGGGGTTATGTTGAAAAATAGAAATGAAACCACTTTCACAATTGTTGGGTTTGTTTGTGAGGCTCAGAACGTTTTGACCAACTCTCCTATATACCAGAATACATGTATGGTCGTAGTTCAATGTGACACATAGAAAAGAGTTGTGAATACTGCATCCTGTCAAATCATCTCTTTCAGGAATTCCACGTGGTGACGAGATTCTAATTTAATTATATGAAGATGACGTATAACAATTGGACCATGAAATGTTTTAATGAAAAGTAATGACAGCACTAAATTTGCAACAAGAGGGTTGACATTCCCAACGTCAACACACATTCATCATCAAGATCAAACATGAAACTTTCGAATGGCCATACCCTTTTCAGATAGTCTACTCGCAAAGAATGGGTATGACAGAAATGCACTTTAAATATATAATTTAGCAGAGTTGCATGCACACTTACATTTCGTTACGTTATGGACACATATGTTTGCTGATACTCCAAGCAGAGTTCCCTTGAGTTTTTAGCCCAAGTCATCTAACCACTATTTTATGGAGCTGTCCAAACTATTTGAAGACCCTGGTAGATTAGCAAAGTGACTGAAAAGGTACAGATCCTAAAGGAGTATAGAGAGTGAATTCATAATAACAACAACTATATCAATATCGGAGTTTCTAAAAGCTCTAACAATCATAAATTCTCATACTCCTCTGATATATTTCTTGTTCATCCACAAATGTTTCTCATTTGCATCAGCTATCATATGTATTATATATCCTTCTAGTACTTAAGTATTAGGGTTTTCAACTAACAATTAGTATTATTTTTGTATTCTTTTTCAGCATGGATATGTGACAGTGATTACATATATCACCGTGATTCCAACATTTGTTTCAAACTCGTTCACGTTGAAACAGAGCCAAGGCGCGCTGAAGACAAATGTAGGAATGATGGATACGGTACTGGTCGCTTGGCCGTTCTGAATACGATGGACAAATTCAATGATGTGACGAATCATCTGAAAGATAGTAAGTGATTATATAAATGCTACATTAGGGTCTTGAGTATTTCGCTCAGTCTGACGATACAACAACATCATGTATCATATCAATAATACTATCACACACTGTCTCACATCATCTTTACATTAGCTATACTATCACATCCTCTCTCACATCATCTATACATCAGCTATACAACAACACCGTGTCTCACATTAGCTATACTATCACACCCTCTCTCACATCATCTATACATCAGCTATACAACAACACCGTGTCTCACATCAACAATACTATCACAACATCTCTCACATCATCTATACATCAGCTATACAACAACACCGTGTCTCACATCAACAATACTATCACACCCTCTCTCACATCATCTATACATCAGCTATACAACAACACCGTGTCTCACATTAGCTATACTATCACACCCTCTCTCACATCATCTATACATCAGCTATACAACAACACCGTGTCTCACATCAACAATACCATCACGTCCTCTCTCACATCATCTATACATCAGCTATACAACAACACCGTGTCTCACATTAGCTATACTATCACACCCTCTCTCACATCATCTATACATTAGCTATACAACAACACCGTGTCTCACATTAGCTATACTATCACGTCCTCTCTCACATCATCTATACATCAGCTATACAACAACACCGTGTCTCACATTAGCTATACTATCACACCCTCTCTCACATCATCTATACATCAGCGACCGCCTCCGTGGTCTTGTGGTAGAGCGTCCGCCCGGAGAGCGGAAGGTCCAGGGTTCGATCCCGGGCCGCGTCATACAAAAAGACGTTAAAAGATTGTACTTGTTGTTAACCTGTCTGGCGCTCGGCATTAAGGGGCTAAAACAAGGACTGGTCGGCTCGGAGTCAGTATACTGTGTCTGAGTGGGGTATTCATGTTAAACTGCGTCATGGTATCTCAGTGAGCTAGCGCTATAAATCGGCATCAGTCCGGACTAGTACAAGCAGCCACACACACACATACACGTGCATGCACGTCGCTATATAAGTGCAATAATCTTGGACGCGACGTTAAACCCCATTTCACCTCACCTCACCTATACATCCGCTATACAACAACACCGTGTCTCACATCAACAATACTATCACGTCCTCTCTCACATCATCTATACATCAGCTATACAACAACACCGTGTCTCACATCAACAATACTATCACGTCCTCTCTCACATCATCTATACATCAGCTATACAACAACACCGTGTCTCACATTAGCTATACTATCACACCCTCTCTCACATCATCTATACATCAGCTATGCAACAACACCGTGTCTCACATCAACAATACCATCACACCCTCTCTCACATCATCTATACATCAGCTATACAACAACACCGTGTCTCACATTAGCTATACTATCACACCCTCTCTCACATCATCTATACATCAGCTATGCAACAACACCGTGTCTCACATCAACAATACCATCACACCCTCTCTCACATCATCTATACATCAGCTATACAACAACACCGTGTCTCACATTAGCTATACTATCACACCCTCTCTCACATCATCTATACATCAGCTATGCAACAACACCGTGTCTCACATCAACAATACCATCACACCCTCTCTCACATCATCTATACATCAGCTATACAACAACACCGTGTCTCACATTAGCTATACTATCACACTCTCTCTCACATCATCTATACATCAGCTATACAACAACACCGTGTCTCACATCAACAATACCATCACACCCTCTCTCACATCATCTATACATCAGCTATACAACAACACCGTGTCTCACATCAACAATACCATCACACCCTCTCTCACATCATCTATACATCAGCTATACAACAACACCGTGTCTCACATTAGCTATACTATCACACCCTCTCTCACATCATCTATACATCAGCTATACAACAACACCGTGTCTCACATTAGCTATACTATCACACCCTCTCTCACATCATCTATACATCAGCTATACAACAACACCGTGTCTCACATTAGCTATACTATCACACCCTCTCTCACATCATCTATACATTAGCTATACAACAACACCGTGTCTCACATCAGCTATAGAACCATACTTTGTTTCACATCCAATAATAAACCAATGTTATAAGTCAATAATAAAAGAAATCTCACACCAGATCTATGTGAAGATTCATGTTCACACAGCTAATTAATTAAAATCCTTGATTTAAAACTATTTCAGTGGATACCTTTTCTTTATATCGTCCTTTCATTCGTGTTGGTCTTTTCATATTTATGGATATTTTATGTTCCACAGCATATCAATGTATCGTTGGTCAAATTTCGAAAAGCACGCGCGCACACGCACACACGCACGCACGCACACACATACACACACGCGAACGCACACACACATTCACACACACGAACGCACACACATATGCACACGTAAAAACACACGCGCTCGCACGCATACACACGCACCAACCCATTTACCCGCGCAGGCGCACGCGCGCATGCAAACAGCACACATATGCACACACGCGCGCGCACACACACTAATACACACACGTTTTCAAATGTGTCAGTAATGTTGAGAAAGTAGGATTTTAAAAGGGTTCACTTTCTTGTTACAGTTGGCGAATGGTATCCGTACATCGTTGGAGCCTCACAGATTTCCATGTGGTACGAGATAAATAGATGGCATGACGGGACGCCTATTGACGCTGCAGTGTGGGCACCTGAGGAGCCGAACAACATATACGAAGAATGTGCCGATCTCAGAAGAAATTTTGGCTACAAGTTGAACGACATCTCTTGCTACGATGACGCATATTATTACATATGCGATATTCCTATATAGGTTATCACTGGATCACCAGTATCGACTGTGAAACTCTCGACTCTCTTGCAACCGTAGGGTATTTTTTTGCAAAGACTGTGGAAACAAAAGGAATTCTATGATGCGATGCTTTTTTAAAATAAATATCTGTCTGAGACTTATCGACACAACAATAATCATTATAACCTCCCAAAGATGATCATCATAATCCGACGATGCTTCTGTGTAAAGAAACGTGTGTTAAGGTGTTTTTTTCTATGAGACACTATTGATATAAAGATGCTATGCTGCTGTTCAAATAAAGATTACTTGATAACAAAACGTTTTGCATGCTTAATGAATTGTTTGTCATTAAAACACAAGAGAAAAAGAAATACTAAGATAATTATACAATTCTAAGCAACGTATTATCTGAAATTTTACACCATATTCATACAGTAACTTTCATGCAACATAACTGTCAAACAATATACACATGGAAAGAAATGAACAATCATCACATAAACTAATCATCGTTTTTTGTTTACAAAGTGATAAAATCATACATAAATATCTAAATTATTTATACAGTAAAGTACGGTTATAACGAACTCAAAGGGACTACTAGTTTTAGTTCGTTATAACCGTAGTTCGTTATAAGTACATATACAGCATGACTACAGCAAGTAGTCGGGACCAAAAAGTAAGTTCGTTATATCCGTCAGTTCGTTATAAGCGTGTTCGTTATAACCGTAGTTTACTGTAGTTATTGACTACCCTTTCAGTTGTTCCCCCTGATTTGTTGTATTGGTTGTTTTGTTGTTTTACGCCGCACTCAGCAATATTCCAGCTATATGACGCCGGTCTGTAAATAATCGAGTCTGGACCAGACAATCCAGTGATAAATATAATGAGCATCTTTCCACGCAATTGGGATCGATGACATGCATCAACCAAGTCAGCGAGCCTGACCACCCGATCCCGTTAGTCGCCTTTTACGACAAGCATAGTCGCCTTTTACGGTAAGCATGGGTTGCTGAAGACCTATTCTACCCCGGAATCTTCACGGGTAGATTTGTTGTATTAAGGGGACGGTGGATTAGCCCAGTGGTTCAAGAGTTCATTCGTCACGCTGAAGACCCCGGTTCGGTTCCCTGCAAGGGTTCATATTGCTTAAAGCGGCGTAAAACATACTCACTCACTCACTCACTTCTTTTATCACTAGCAAAAGGGTATCGTGCGAATATCTCAATGAGTGAGTGCGTTGGGTTTATCGCTGCTTTTAACAGTATTACAGTTATATCACCTCGTGTCAGCTTAATGTGGGAGGAAAACCCAAAGTGATGCAGGTCTCAGAAGTTTACCACTTCGGTGAAACCCACGAGCACGGATATGGTGCTGACAAACCTAGAAACATAATCGGGGCGAACCGGGATTAGATCCCGAAATCACGAAAAGTCTGCATTCTGATTGGCTATTGTCGGCATCTTGTTAGTCATTCCATTGGTCGGTCAAAATTCGCGAAAGGTCGGTCTGACATGACCCGTATTGGGATGTCCTCAGATTATTTGTTTAGCGGTAGCGAGAGCTAATATCTGATTTTAATGAGATTGCCCAATAGCACCTCAGCGGTGTATCCAACAAACGTCAGACAGTATCAGGTATCATTGACGTGTTGTTCTGTGACTTAAATACCACAAATACCTCCTCTCAAACTACTAAATGACAGCCCTCTTAAATCTGGAGTTGACTCGTGACGTTGTTCGAAGATGTAATTTGCTGGCCGGCAAGTTTTACGTCTGACTGATTTTCTCATAAAACATCGTAAGCTGCATGTACTTTGTTAGTGGGATCCTTTCAAAAGAAACTGTAATTGTTGGCTATTGTTTTAGCTTTTGTTGTGTGAAGAGGCAGTGACAATTAAAGGCTATACCCGAAATTACTTTGTAAAACACTCAGCTAACGTGACCGCCTCCCACTCAGACACAGTATACTGAATCCGAGCCGACCAGTCCTTGTTTTAGTCCCTTAATGCCGAGCGCCAGACAGGGTAACAACAAGTACCATCTTTTAACGTCTTTTGGTATGACGCGGTCTGGGATCGAACCCCGGACCTTCCGCTCTCTGAGCGGACGCTCTACCACTAGACTACGGAGGCGGTTTACAGCAGAATGAATTAACGCTGACATAAATATCAGCGACAAAACGCTTTTCATATTCATGAGAAATCGTTGATGCAAGCAGTCACTTGTATCATTTCGACGGTTTCGCGAGCATGTGTTTATTAATCACTATCATATCGTGATGATACCAGGTCTTCGAAGAAATGTGAGTGTATCCTGCCTATACGGTGGCACCCGTTACAAACACATGCAAAAGCAAGTCAATTCACCAGAAGAAAAACCCTGGAACATGTGGTACAAGACAGGGAATTGCATCGGACATCATTATTGTTACTGATGGGGCACATTTGGAAATGTCCTCTACATGTCTACCATAGAATGATTTAAAAGCTTGATAGAGGCTTGCAATGATGTAATCTTGATCAAACAACTCCTCTTGAAAATCTTGGTAGAAAGAGCATGCAGGATCGCAACTCAAAAGTTGTGAGCTACAAGAATATTATTTAACATAAAGGGAAACTTGACCATGGGAAAGTTGAAGTCATGCTCTAGTCATACAGTCTTGTGGAGAATTGTGTTTCACTCTGAAACTTTATGCCCAGATCAAAATATGAAACCGATGAGATATTCTCACTGGTCTCCTATTTCTAGTTAAGGCGGGTAAATCAGTGAACGGAAATTGGCTATTTGATGGTTATTGAACATGGATTGATGAGATTGAAAAGGTGGATGATGATGATCATCATCAACAGTTCTTATTACAAGGGTGAGATATCAAGCGTTCTTATTACAAGAGTGTGATATTGAGCGTTCTTATTACAAGGGTTAGATATTAACCGTTCTTAATACAAGGGTTAGCTATTAAGCGTGCTGATTGCAAGTGTGAGACTTTAAGCGTTCTGATTACAAGTGTGTGATATGAAGTGGCTGATTGTGAGTGTGAGATTTTATGCGTTCTTATTACAAGGATGAGATATTAAGCGTGCTTATTACAAGGGTGAGATATTAAGCGTTATTATTAAAAGGGTGAGATATCGAGCGTTCTTATTACAAGGGTGAGATATTAAGCGTGCTTATTACAAGGGTGAGATATTAAGCGTTATTATTAAAAGGGTGAAATATCGAGCGTTCTTATTACAAGGGTAAGATATTACGAGTGCTGATTGCAAGTGTGAGACTTTAAGCGTTCTTATTACAAGGTTGAGATATTAAGCGTGCTTATTACAAGGGTGAGATATTAAGCGTGCTGATTGCAAGTGTGAGACATTAAGCGTTCTTTCTACGAGGGTGAGATATTAAGCGTGCTGATTGCAAGTGTGAGACATTAAGCGTTCTTTCTACGAGGGTGAGATAGTAAGCATGTTGATTGGAAGTGTGAGACTTTAAGCGTTCTAATTATAAGGATGAGATTAAGCGTGCTGATTGCGAGTGTGAGACTTTAAGCATTCTTATTACAAGGGTGAGATATAAAGCGTTCTTATTAAAAGGGTGAGATATCAAGCGTTCTTATTACAAGGGTGAGATATTAAGCGTGCTGATTGCGAGTGTGAGACATTAAACGTTCTTACTACAAGGGTGAGATATTAAACATGCTGATTGCCAGTGTGAGATTTTAAGCGTTCTTATTACAAGGGTGAGATATTAAGCGTTCTGATGGCGATTGTGAGACATTAAGCGTTCTTATTACAAGGGTGAGATATTAAGCGTTCCGATGGCGATTGTGAGACATTAAGCGTTCTGACTACAAGGGTGAGATATTGATTGTGCTGATTGGAAGTGTGAAATTTTAAGCGTTCATATAACAAGGGTGAGATATTAAGCGTTCTGATTGCGAATGTGAGATATTGAGCGTTCTGACTACAAGGGTGAGATATTGATTGTGCTGATTGGAAGTGTGAAATTTTAAGCGTTCATATAACAAGGGTGAGATATTTAGCGTTCTTATTAAAAGGGTGGGATATCAAGCGTTCTTATTACAAGGGTGAGATATGAAGCATGCTGATTGTGAGTGTGAGACATTAAGCGTTCTTTCTTCGAGGGTGAGATATTGAGCATGTTGCTTGCAAGTTTGAGACTTTAAGCGTTCTTATTATAAGGGTGAGATACTAAGCGTTCTTATTACAAGGGTGAGATATTAAGTGTGCTGATTGCAAGGGTGAGACTTCAAGTGTTCTTTTTACAAGGTGAGACATTATGCGTGCTGATTTTAAATGTTCTTATGACGCTGATTTAGAATGTGAAATTTGATCGGCATCATGTTCTATTTCATTCCTTCAGGATTTGGTAAGATTTTAACAGGGTTGACATATTGATCTTATATTAATTACAAACAATGCAAGTGTCAAGTCTTGTTCATATAGTTGTATAACAAGCACAAACTGAAGGGTCCCTTTTCATGGAGATTGTGGTTTGTTTTAGTTAATGGTCGAGTTAAGGAAGCACACGTAAAATATACAATTTAATGCTTGTGTTAAGTGTGTGAAGCGCACATAGAATTAACAACAGAAGGCAAAAAAACGGTAAGGATTAAATTTTATTAAAGCGGGATTGACAGTAATAAACCTTTTCACTTCCTCACTCATTTTCCTTGTTGAAAATCAAGAAATCCATAGACGATTGTTTGGATGTGCATTTCTTTGTTTGTTCACTTCGTTAGTCATAGCGGGATGTTCGTGAACGGCCATACAGTTTAGTGAGTGAGTGAGTATGGTTTTATGCCGCTTTTAACAATATTGCAGCAATATGACGGCGGGGGTCACCAGAAATGGGCTTCACACATTGTACCCATGTCGGGAATCGAACCCGGGTCTTCGGCGTGACGAGCGAACGCTTTAACGACTAGGCTACCCGACCGCCCCCATACAGTTTAACCTTCTGACTTTCCCCAATATATTCTATAACGATGGGGGCGGCCGGGTAGCCTAGTGGTTAAAGCGTTCGCTCGTCACGCCGAAGACCCGGGTTCGATTCCCGACATGGGTACAATGTGTGAAGCCCATTTCTGGTGTCCCCCGCCGTGATATTGCTGCAATATTGCTAAAAGCGGCGTAAAACCATACTCACTCACTTACTAAAACGATGAGTTCCAGATTAAATTGTCTAAATTATCAGAAAAAAAACATTTCTGTATTTATTGGTGCTAGGGAATTCCCTGAGGTTTCCCTGTGACTGTGGAAGTAGTCCGTCAGTGTTTACATCATTTCAAGAATAAAATCTCGTGGA